GGTGGAAATGGCGGAAAATTTTAATGCAAGAGGATGGAATATTTAAATGTGTTGCAACATATGCTGCAAGGTTGTTGCAAGGTTGGTTATTGTACACCGACTTTGGCCAGCAAAACTTAATACTTTACAGTTTCAACTTGTTGTTGTTGCAACTTACTCGCTATTGCTCTACACCCTCAGGCTATTATCGTTCTTCGTCTTTCGTGTCGCTTGTTGTTATAATCAGTTGTTGGCATTGTATTTGCTAGTAGCTTCGTGTGTGTGTGTGTGTGTATGCTTGCGTTGGTGGCTCTCGCCCGTGTTGACACTGTGAAAATAATTGACCGCAGGATAAACTGGTTTTGCAGGTGTTTTGCATTATCATCACCAACCAACAGCACCAACGCGATTATTATCATAATGTAAGTGGTTCAAATTTAATTGGAGTTTATGTTTGTGGTGTGAGTGTTTGTTGTAAAGAACTTCGTTTGACAAATACTGCAGGGCAACTCACTCGGGTGGATAACTATCACTGTTGCTGTAGAAAGGGAGGCTAAAGAGGCATTAAATGAAGTCGTATATATTTAGTTTAGCCATTAATGGATGGACTTTATCAAGGTGAATGGAGTTTATGGGCATAGATTTGCCAGATCCAGATTTTCAACATTTTCTATATCGAACGAAAACTCTTCTGATGAAGCGAGGGTACTTTGAGAAAACGATGACACACTCAATCTGTTTGTCAACTTTATAGCAGTCTTCTATATCACTAAAGGAGGCTTTCTATAATAAATACATTGTCATTGTTTGTCGCCAGCAACGGCAAGGTTTTCTCGATGCGCTCAATAGTAAGCACTTGAGTATTGCGGACGACTTCGTCCAACTCGAAATCATCCCCAAACAAGTCAAATAATATCAGCCAACCCAACACAGTACCACATTCACCAACAGCTACTACTTTGTAAGGAGTGGATAAGAGAAGAATAACGTCTTCAGTAAAGTAAAGATGAACAAAGGCCGACTGTATGATGGAACGGCTTTGATGACGATTTTAGGATACGAAGAGTCTGCACTAATGGTTTTACTGTTATTTTTACTGAAAAAACGTAAGTATAGTTCCACCAAAGCGCAGACCTATTTAAGAATAAAATACCTCATAGGGCAGACTTAAGTTATCAATTTTCAAGACACTTTTCCAGGTTTGATCGATACTTCGAGTGTACCGATAAGTCGAGGGCAATTTTATATCGATTAATAAATATATATTAAAATAGAAAATTAAGCCGACAGATGTGGAAGATGTGCTGTCGCTGAAGGTTTATTGAAACGGAAGGAGTACTCCAAAATTTCGTTGGAGGACAGTGAGATGGTAATTTCTACACAAAGTAAAATTTACTTTCTCTCCGCTGATGGAAGTCTTTTACCTAGAGCATACCTGTACTGATGAATGAGTAGTAGAGCTGAAGTTTGTTTTTATCTTTCTGTATATTTGACATACGCATAGCTCTTTTCAAAATAACTGCAAACTTTCGGTATGTTTTGCTAAAGCTTCACGCTTTCGTTGAATCTCTCGTGCGAGAAAATATTTTTTTCCCCGTTACTTGAACGCTCTCTAACAGCAATGCCTTAGCATACGGTTAGTTCTTCTGAAAATTAATTCAGATTTTATATCTAAATATTTGTGTTTTTCTTAACACTCTCCATTGCAGAGGATTATTTAACGACAAGTTCTTTCAGATATTTTTATAGATTTTGCTTTGGAAAACGCAGGGAGTTTGAGTCTCTCTCCCTTTGGGGTAAGCTATTGCAAAAAAAAAAGAAAAGAAATCCAGACTTTCTTAGTTTTTTTATATGACTTTGTGAGAACATTATTGCTTTCAGATTTTTCTCGTTTGTTGTTCACTCTCTTCCACAATGTTTTGACTTGGGAATAGTTCTACAAAAACAATTACTGATTTTATTGAAAGAGAAATTCTCGCACGAGAGATTTTTCCTACTTCTCTTTTCTTGAGATTTTCGTCAAGGTATGACTATGAGAATTATTTCATTATAGATCATTTTAACGGTGTTACCACTCACTCACTTATTCTTTTAGGCTCGAAACCAATGGTAATTGAGCAAATTAGTCAGAAATGAGCTAATGCACTGCCTTAATAGTGATATTCTCAATTTATATATTTTCAAAACTCCACTGCTCTTTTTTTAAATTAAAAGGCAAAAGTCAAATATATAAGAATTCATTTGATAGCGAAATACTCTCATATTACCCCTGTTACAAGTTTAACGCTGAAGAAAAAATTTTTTCTCTTTCCCTGTGTAGAAGTTGCTCCAGCAGAAGTAATTTTATGTTACATTTCCATTTATTTATTTATTATTTTTCAACAAACAAAAGAGTCAATGTATTAAATAAATTTTAATGATACCAACAAACAAACCAACTAATCGATGTTTGCAATAAAATCTTCAGATCTAACGGATTTTGCTTGTTTGTGGTTTGTTGGCCATGCGGTTTACTGATGATGATGATGGTGATGCTGAAAATACTGTTAGTTATGTCTACATACAAATGTATATACAAACATAAACTCACTCGCACACTCTTTTAACGCAGGTGTTTACTAAAATGATAGTGTTAATAATTGGTCTATTGGAGAGTCAGCACCGCCACCACTACCATAACCCTGGCTCTGGTGCTGCACATGCCAGACAGTCTGTTTGCAATGAATTATTAACAAAGCACAGCAAATGCAACTGTGTGAATTAAGCTCAGAAATCAGTTACAAACCTTACTCGGTAGACACACATAACTCTGGTTACTGATATATAAACGCATTTATGTATGTATATACACGTATGTATAAAGGCAATTAGAGAACTCAAGCAGAGCTTCCTTATGTATTGTATGTAGGTGCATATCATGCCTCGGGCTATGTGACCGGAAATTATTGATTAAACCATAAACTACGCATATTTCCTGATCATATACTCAGCTAATAATTCAGTATTTTGAAATTTGGAATTTGTGAGTTCGGGGTAAGCTGTTTGAAATGCGTCCTAAAAGGATTTCGCAGAGTTTTATGCATTGTGAGTTGCCAGCAAATGAACACTGCAGTACTTCATTCATTCATTCATTCATATATCGATTCTAGGCTTTGCAATATAAATGCTAAAAACTCTTAAACATATATATATGTGTGTGTGTATGTGTGTAGGAATGCATTTATGCCATTTCGGGTATACTCATCGTAAGCAATGCAGCGTGTAATGCTCACAAGGATAATAACTAAAATTTATTGCATTTCCAATGCAGATGGCAAAAATCATTGCTGAAATATCTAACGCCCGTGTGTACTGGGTGTGCATTAGTAAGTAAGTAATATTGCGAAAAGGTTGCGAAAACAATTTTCAAACTATTATGTAACTAGTTGTTTTTGGGACCAATCTGGTTTGCTTCATAACTAATCTCTATGTATTTCCAGTAAATTAAGTACTGTTAATTAAGGCGCTCTGGTTAAGGTAAGCGGGTTTGAGAAGCCTTAACGCGTTACCTAGGGTAGTATGCGCTACGATGGTCGCAAAGCGGTTATGTGACCTTTCAGGTAGTGTTATGCATGCGGCGTGACTCAAACTAAACTCTATAGCTGAGCTGCTGTTTATAGGGAAAGCCATAATAAGGCCAAAGTCAATTGAGAAATCTTTAAGAAATTGAAATGTGTATTAGTTATGGGATTGAAACTCTGATTGTATGTGATAAGGTAGTGGATACAAAGAGTTAATGAGGCAAACGGAGTTTATGTCGCACCAATGAATATTATCAACAGAAATCTAAGTTTGTGAAAAGAATGCCAGTTTGCTTCAGGTCGCACCTTCTACCGGTTTACTTTACCGAGTTCAGACTTGGGTCGTTTTGGGAAATAATAGCTTCGAGTAGGTAGCAAGAGGCAGTAATATTTTCTGCGACAAATTAATCTCTTCTATGAGTCGTGAGGGTTTTCTAGAGCCCAATCTGATCTATATCTCGGCTGGTGTAAAGGTTAAGACTGTGTTGGAGCAACATCAATAGATAACTTGGTTTTTATCTACTGCCTGTAGGAAGGGGTTAAATCTTTTCGACTTTTGGTAGGTCTGCGGTCATGGCTTTAAACTGATCTGCCTGTGTAACGAACGGCGCGTGATGAGTACAGCTGCCAGCGTTGGAGTTTATTTTGTAGAGAACTAGTATGCTCCTATCGGCTGATAGATTTTTTCATTATGCTAGTAAATTTTCTGTGGAGCGATGCACGCGTTGGAAAATATAAAGCTTGGTCCTTCTCCCTCGGTTAGTGTAGTCAGTGTGACGCGACTTCAAGGTCACGATAAGTTTAGTGACTCCTCATGAAAGAAATAAAGTAAAGAAAGTACGTTTTAGTGTACCACAAATAAAATTCTTATTTTAGAAATTCTCTTAAAATTTACTACCTAACAATGTTTTCCACCACCCTACCCTAAGTTTCATATTGTGACGCTACTAATAATCGCACTCGCACTCGCCTTGCTCACTCCAACTCTTCCACCACCAGTCTGCGGTGCGTAAGTTGATTTTCGATTTTTAAACTTTATGATTTCTAACCATTTGGTTGCCCCAGAGACATTCTGGCGTACGCATAATTTTCCCATTAACCCTCGAGGGTTGTGTATTCTGCCAATATTCTTCGTTTACACGAGGCAGCAGCGCCCCAATAAACTCAGGCCAATTGTGATATATGAAGAGTTATCGTTATCATTGGCTCTAGCCTACGGGCTGTGCTGGGCTACAGTTTGAGCAATGCGAATGTGTTTTTGTTGTGGCCGTCAACTTATGGAAAAGTTGTGTAATTGTTAAGCGCAATATTGCTATATTTCCTAATTTGATGCCAGCAAAGTGGCAGTGCCTAAATGGGTTTTTATGTTGCCAGAATGACCAACCAAAATTTTTGCATTGAATTATTATCCAATTTTATTTATTATTATTGGAAAATGCAAAATTTGACAGTAAATTGTTTTAGAAAATGTTTTGAAAGCGTAAAATATGAAAAAAAAAATAAAAAAAAATCATGTAAATATGTATGTATGCAGTGGTTAAAAATGACTATAAAACGCTCATAGGAAATTCACTTCCGCTCATCCTCAGACTCCTCCTCTTCTATTAGTTCCTCTTCCTCGTCCCCTTCGCTTTGTTGTTGCTGTTTCTTTGCACTGCGTTTTGGGTGTTGCTCATGTTGCTGTTGTGCCGTACCAATTGCCATTGGCGATGTCATTTGCCTGGTCAACGATTGCACGCTGAATGTTTCCTCAGCTGGTGGCATGCCACGCGCGGTAGGCGATTGCATTGGTGCAATACCCGGCAGATCGCCATCCAAGCTCAAATTGGTTGCCGCCGATATGCCGCGTGCATATTTCAACTTCTGTCGTTCAAAACGCTCACGTTCACGCTCTTCTCGCAACCGTTCGAACTGATCTTCGGTTTCTTCCTCTTCCTCAACGTCTTCATCAATGTCCTCAACTGCAGAGAGAGTAAGAGAGAGCGAAAGAAATAGAGAGATAGATATATAGAGAGAGAGAAAGAGAAAGAGAAATAGAGATAGACATAGAGAGAGAGAGAGAAAAAGAGATAGATAGAGAGAAAGAGAGAGAGCCATGGAGACATAGAGAAATAGAGAGACAGAGTTAGCGTAATCAACTTAAAAACTCTTTAAAGACAATCGGTTCCCTTATAACACTACTCCCGAAAAATTACTCTTCTCTTCACCACAACTTACATGTCACTAGTGCTGATGTGCCACTCTCCCTATACAAACTTTCCATACTACTTGGCGCTACATGGTCGTCATCATGGTCGCCACCACGGAATACGTCACGCACATCCTTGGTCGGTGTTATCTCTGACTGATGTTCTGTTAAGGTTCTATCGGCATCTACATCATCGGCCTTCTCATCGATTATATGCAATGCCTCTGACGGTCGAACTGATTTTGCTATAGAATGAACGGAGCCATTAGTTTGAGGCGAGGTCTGTTTCTCGGCATCCGGTTGTGTTGTGTTATTATCTTTCTCATTTGAATCGCGTGTAAGAAATCTTTGGATTGCCGTTCGGAAACGTAGACTGGTGTCGGTTAGACGACTGAGAGATGAAGATGCGGTGGGACGATCGTCAATACGCGTGCTGTTGGTCTGGAAGTAAGAAAATAATCCTTAATACGTCTTGAAACCTGAGTTGCTGGCGTAAAATACTGCAATGTAGTCTATATGTACCCCAAAGCTATCCGTCAGGTATATTTAGCGTACACCAGGGGCCTTCCAATGAATATTCACCCAAATATTTCTGCGGAGTTTAACTCACCATGCCATCATATTTGGAACCAGAACGTGAGAGCACCGTCTGATTGGTAGTAAAATCTAATTTGGCAGTGGATTGTACAGGTGGATGTTCGCGTTTGCTGTCAACTTGATAAGGCAACTCATTGGGAAAGATTTCATCCCAATATTGATCCTTAACCAGTTCTGGATGCTCATGATGCATTTCATCGACAATGAGATAGGAAACTTGCAAATTCCGATCAATCATCCAGTTAACCTTATAAAGAAACCACAAATCTTAACTCAGAACTAAATGTACTGCTACCAAAGCGAGTTACTCACCTCAAAATCATCATCATCTTCGCCAAAAGGATTTATCAGCGTTTCGGCCACTTTCAGCCAACCCATGTAGAAGAAGAATTGCAGTGTGGTGAATATAGGGAAATAGAGATCAACATAGTTTTGGTTATCATGTTTAGTCCACTGATGGCCGATCACTTGGCATATGAAGTACGTATAAACAGCCAAAGTGACGACCTGTGTATACACAAGCGGTACAGAGATCGTATCGTAGAATAGCAAAACACCACAATTTCCACGGAAACTATTCAAAGCATCTATAATCGTCTTCACCGAGAAGTCATCACGTATGCGTCCCTCCTTGCGGGCGCGTGTTATAATGCTCGCTGCCCATACAATGGGTAACCAATACTTCGGATATTTCGGGAAAGCGACATTCAAATCTTGTATAACGAGTTTCTCATTCTCCAATAGTAAGCCCGCTTCGACTAAATGATCGAGCGTGGGAAAGCGTTTCTTAACACGTGGTGCAATCTGCGTAAAAACAATGGTGAGACAGAGACAGACATAACGCATAACAGTGCGACGCATAACACGCGCACGCTCATCTTGTCCATGCACGTTGGCGCTCACAAAAACTGCTATGGGATCGGGCCATGGTATGGTCATATATTGATCCCACCAACGTTGCATTACGACGGTAACATAAAAGCCGAGCACGAAGGAGAGCGGTATGAGTGAGCCGTAACTGTTGCAGTAGTGCACGAGATTTTCAAATGTACTGGTAGGGACGGGGAGAGAGAGAGGAAGAATAACTTAATTGCATATTTTGAAAATCTCAATTTTGCACACTCACTCCTGACCATTTGCATTCAATAAAAATTGATAAACCAAGTTGAGCGTATAGTAAATAAATAAAAAAGCGAGTAAATCTCGCCAAATGAGCTTGTAAATGCTGCCGCGCCATCTGGAAGAACCGAAAGAAAGAGGAAACTTTTAGTTGAACACAAAAAATTTACAACAAAATTATAATATTATTATTTAATTCTACAAAATTCCAACCTTCTTAATAGCTTGAGAAAGCAGCCAAAGCCACGGCAGGAAGCCACCTCTGCCGTATAAGAAACAGTCATAATTCCTTTTTCTTTGTTTAGTTAAAAATTTTTGGCTGCGTTTGTGTTCGTATTAAAATATTTTCTTATTGTTTGTGAAGAAGGGAAAATTCCAATTTGGAAATTGAAAATTCAGCAAAATTTTATTTGATTGAATTATAGTTTTATCAACCCAGTGGAATATTTGGCAGAGCACAGTTATTGAAATATTAACGCTTTTGATTTCCTAAGAAAACTGATTTTTTTTATTTATTTTTGTAAAATGCTAAGGAGAAGTTGAAGAATCTTTACGTGGATCTCATTCGCCTGTTTCCGTCAAATCATAATTCTTACCAATGTTTGGATCTCGTAGAATATCTTCTATTTGCCATGAAGAGCAGCACTAATTGTTGATTTGACTGAGTAATGTGCTCGTATATTTGGAATATCATGTTTTCTAATTAAAAACAGTTTAATACTTAAGTCACAGTCGTCAAGAAAAGTTTATCGTATTCATGCATTTCGATCCGTCTTTCTATCGCATATTGCTTTCCTATTCGACACTTTATATCTCTCACACACAATTCTCATTTTCGTTGCTCGCAATTTTACGAGTTAGTCTTTTTCTCTCCACAACTGCTTGCAATATCTCATACTGTGAGCTCTTTTTAGACACTTCGAGTACCGCTTCTTTGACAGAGCTGTGAGAGAGAGTTTAAAATATTCGCTAACACAAGGTTGTTGGAAAGTGTTCTTGGAGAGCAAGAGTGTTTGTAGATATTAGAAAACTGCATAGATGTGTGCTTTAATTTACTCACGCGAGCTCTTCGCTGCAAGGAACCAATGTAATGGTCAAAGTTGAAGCTAGAATATAGCAAAGCACGCGTATCTAAAAGCTGAATACGTCTTTCGTCTATCACATCAAGATTGCTTCCAGTCATTCGATTCGGTAATAATCTAGAATAGCGCTCGATAGATGAACGTAAATATATTAGACCTCGGCAAAGTCTATTCTCTAACCCTTTGATCGATGTTTCGCCAAAGAGGCTAAATATTTCAAACGTTGTAGAAAATGCACAGGAAGTTAACTTAAAACATGCTCGACTACTGAGAAGAACGATCTAACTTGACCAACTTTTTACTTAAAGAACCGACTATTCTAGGTTCTCACCCTGAAATAAGAGTCCTTAATACATATGCCGTGTTCATTGTCAAAATTGGAATTTCTCTTTTTCAGCTTTTGGTTTCCATTTACTGGGCGGGTTGATTACCGCATCTTGCTTAAGAGTTTCTAACGTTTCCAGGGCTTGCGACCTGGACATTAAAGTAGAAATTGACTGTTACTACAAGAACAAGACTGTTACTAGAAGCAAAACAACACCCCAAACGATAAATGACCACAGCAAGATAAACTCTTCCTAGAAGAGTTTAATGTGCCCGTTAAAGGAACCAGAAGCAACCAAAAGTTCTACAACTAAAATATTCGTCCATGTAAGTACCAACAAACGGTGTCGATGAACTTTTAATAGCAGTATTAGAATGAACTTGGAAACAAGTCCTAACTGTGGCCAAGTCCAGACAGAAATAGCATTTTGTGGAAGGATTTTCCGTTTATATTTTCAAAGTAATGGAAATCGGGCGAGAGTAAAAGCATGTTTAAGGACCAGAAACACATTTATTGTAATATTAATGAATTGTTTATATAATGAGCTGACCAATTCGGTAATGACCGTAACTACGCCGGATCTCATTGTTAGAAGCACAAGTAAATAACACAAAATGAAATTTTATTCAAAATAGAAGTTTTCATCATCTAACCCATTAGCTTTGATTGAATTCTTGGTAACAAGTGAACACAAATTCAATATTGAGTTAATAACTGGGGTAATATACCAAGTAAATCGTTCTAAATTAAGAAAATTATGCGCAATATGCTGCCAAGGCACTTAATAAGAAACTAATCAATTAAATTTTGTAATGAAAGCTGCACGCGAGGCAGCTTTCGATGTAATTAAATGATGAAAATTTGTTTCTTTACAAATTTATTATTAAGGAAAACCAGAAGCTCGGTCATTAATTAGCGTCGGAGGAGGAGCAAAAGCAGCTGCCACAGGAAAGTGCCGAAAATATAATACACAATTTCAAAAAAAAAAAAAAAAAAAAAAAAAAAACTCGAAAATAATAATAGCAACAACACTAGCTGAATAGCAGCAACTGATTAGCTGGGCAGCAGTGCTGTCCAACAACAGCAACGTTAGCTATTGTACAACAATATTAGCATTATATTTGCCCTATAAGGACCCACAACCGAACTAACTGCCCAATTGCGTCCTGGCTAATTTACATTGGAAATTTATGACGCGTCACGTGAAAATTGGATTTAATTACAGCAAAAATGTTTGGGCTATGAATTTTACGATGCGCAGCAGTTGCCCCACTGCTGCTACATAGCAACAAAAACAATATAAATAAACAGCAGGAACAACAATTACAACAACCACGTCATCAGTTGCAACCATTTGATGAGCGCATTTTGCGATAATTTATTTTGTCGCATGAATAATTTAGCCAATTTGGATTTAAAATTGATCAGTATCCGCAACGGTGCACTGAGGCATACTTATACGTATACATACACATACATACAGATACACATACATATATACTATATGTGAGTGGAGTGTGAAAGAGCGCCGGTAGAATCGCATAGGTGAAGTGTGACGTTCGTTGGCTTCTCACTGTGGTCGCTCATGGTCACTTCCTGTTTGGGAGAGTATGCCATGCTTGGCGCATGTGTGTGTGCGTGTGCTGGTCCATCATTATCGCAATATCCATTTGATATTTTCGTATATTATTGCTGCAGTCATTTTTGGTTGCTAGGAATCAGCGATGTCAGCAGCGAATGAAATAGCCGAAAAAAGATGTACAATAATAACATAAAACAAAAAAAAAATATCTATGGAAGGTCTACGCGTGGGTTGAACCAAATAAATATACATTTACTCTTTATAAATACCGTTATATGATACTTGATCAAATATGTCCGAATATTATCTCCATTCTCGAAATTTCGAAAAGGCGACATTCACTTACACAAAGCAGTCCCAAAAGTTGGTGTGGACGCAGCTCAACTTCCCTTATTCCCAATACGAACCTACTGCCATTTTTACCAAGCTTCAAAAATAAATCCCTTTTCACATTAGTCATTGTAAGAGTTGACGAATGGAACACAGACAGGCAGACATGCCTAGATCAACTGTCCTGATCATTCTACAAAGTTTAGTATACAAATATCTATATCTAACCCTGCCTATTACTATTTATTAAAGAAACCTAGTTTACCCTGTCGACGAAGTACTGTTGGGTATAATGATGGCGAGTACGATATGGCGATACGAGTATTTTTGTATGCCCACTGTAGGAAATTAAACTTATCAAAAATTTCTGCCAAAAATAACGGTACCGATTCTTGGCAGTATCAGTATTTGAGCATATCTCAGTAATACTAATTAGAAAAAAATTTAGAGAATAAACAGCTACATCTCTCGCTAGGCACATATATGTAACAGGACTCCACCCGCACTCTGGGGCACTCTAAAATTTCCGTTTTCATTCAGAAGGGCTCGAAAGCCGGTTTACTTTTAAACAAGGATATTAAATAAGTAGTAAATTTTCTAAAACACGAAGAGAGGAGCTCGTAGGAGCCCTGCGATTGGTATGCCTGAGTCGTTCAAGGAATTTGTGACTTCCCCATCACCCCCTTATCGAACATATCCGTAATATACTCCTCCATATGCTATTTTAGGATGGAAGTAGTCAGGTAACACTGCTGCTTCACAGGTTCGATTCCTGCTTTTAGCCTGTTCCTATGCTCATCTAAGTGGATCCACCCTATCCCTTGCGGTATCGCCAGGAACGCCTCAGCAACTAACTGACCTACGTTGCTTGTCAGCTAACTCGGAGTGATCCACTAGTACCATCAATTGGCTTGGTATTTTGAATTAAGAATCCACCTTCAAAGTACATTCAAGCGACTTCCACGTGATGGGACGAAGACATTGGTAGCTACGATTTAGACAAAACGCCTTTTCAGAATTTTATTTTATTTTTATATTTAAACTCACAAATTAAAAAACTCCTTTGGAAAGTATTTACGATTTTGGCTTGGTTCAGATAAACACGCAGTAGACCTCTCTTACAAAAGACGGCGCTAATGAGTATTGCGCAATTGGTACTCTTTTTGAGGAAGCTAGTGAGAACACGGCTTAAGCTGCACAGTTCCTGTTGGGCTTCGTCAATAACTCACTAAGTGTAAAATTTTTTTTTTAGTTTTTTTCACTTAACGACGACCGTAAATATTGTGAAAGATATACAAACAACAACAGCATACACACATAAAATCATCACCAACAACAATACATTTGTTGAACCAAGAAAAAAGATACGATTCACCTGTACCAGCACTTGACCATTCGCGCATTCTCGTTCAAGCAATGAATGAATGAGATGTATGAATGCATTAAATAAATACATACACACACATATATATACATATACACATGTATATTTGCATTCATGCTGCCACATCATCAATTGATGTTCGCATTGACCAGTTCGAAAAGTGTTAATTGGCAATTATGTACAAATTTGTTGGGGCATAAAATTAAATCAAATTAAATTGCCAACAAAATGGGTGTGTTGTAGCCAAGCAATCAGCAATCAGCGAGTGTTGCACAAATAACCACAAGTTGGTATGTTGGTTGGTTGTTTGGTTGGTTTGTTGGTGTGTGTGAATGCTCCATGTAGCTTTGACGTAAAAATTTGTGCAAGTTGCAAAGTGCAAGTCGTGCAACTCATTTTTCTATGACATTGTCGTCGCACGCATTGTGGCATGATTGTTGTAACTATTGTTATTGCTGTTGTTAGGTCCTGGGAGCCTAACTAAATGACCGTTGTGTGCACACGGCGTTTGGATTTTGAAACGACGCGGGAAGGTCCTCAAGTTCGTTGGAAGTATACATTTTTAGCGAAAGAATTTTTTTCTCTTTCACTATAATTTGCCATAATCACAGTAACTATTTTATTCAGCTAATCAATGTTTTTAAAGCTA